AAAATACTAAAAACTGAGAACAGTTTTTTGGCCAAATATAGAGAGATTCAAGAGAGAAGTATATGAGAGTGTGGGAAATTGAGAAGGAACCAAATTCTATTTATAGGACAAATATATGCCGCACCCAAGCTTGGTTGGCACTCCTTCCTCTCAGAGCTTGACACATGGCGAATTTTGGCTGGTGTTGCATGGTAGCTTCTAGAAGATGCGCATCGCACCTCTCTTGTGCAAGGTGCACCTGGGGAACTTCAAAAATTTGTCACATTTTCATACCGAATTCGTTTTTGATGTTATTTAAATCCACACGTAGCTATTGACGAGATTTACAACTTTTGTTTAGATCCCGTCGGCTAATTCTCACTTTATTTTTTACTTTTTATTTTTAGAAGGCTTAGATTGTTAATCACCTTTTAAAATTCATATCTTTTGCATATGACGTCCATTCTTCATCTGTCTTTATACTGACAGACTCCTTTTAATGAGATCTACTACTCTCGTTTTTGTTGTTTTGGCTAACAATCAACCGATATAAAATTCAATTTCTATGCTAATATTGTTGCGCTGAAACTTCAAAAAATCGTAACTTCCTCATATATAGTCAGATTTGGATGTTTTCTAGATGCACGCTCTCAGTTTTACGACTATTGCTACTTTCTTTTAGATTACTTAGGATAAAATTAATTTATCAAAATTTCATTTTTTATGATACGAAGAGTCATGTTGGTCTAATCGTGAAACTTCGAAGAAGCATAACTTCTTCATATGTTGTCGGATTTCAATGTTCTTTAAATGTACATAATCTTTGTCAGATATACTATATATATATATTTTTTTTAAGATTATCAATCATAAATAACCTTCTATACAAAATTCATTTTTAACGTTTATTATATATTAATTGAGTAGCCCGAATCTACGGGTGTTACACCATACAAGGTGTGTATGTAAGCAATAGTTTATATCTATAATTTACAAGCATATGTCACATTCTATTTTATGTAAATTCTTTAATAATAGACAAAGATAGATACAATGAAAACATTTTTCTAATATAACTTGATGGTGTTGAAGTAGTCCATCTGAGATACATTTAACATCTCCAAGTAGTACAAGGTGTTTTATAGTGTAAAGGTGACACACGATCTTCTTTGGACATCAAAAGTTAATAAAGCAGCAACCACAATTAGCAGTAAAATGCATTAGCAACAATCTTGATATATCAATGCACATTTGCAACACTTAAAAATAACAATGGACTTTAAAAAATACTCCAGAAGTCATTAAAATCTGACAACCTCTCTCTCTCTCTCTCTCTCTCTCCCTCTATTTTTCTCTTTATTTCTCCATCTCCCTCATCTTCTCCTCTCCTTGTCCCCTTCCTCACCTCCATATCCTTTCCTCTATATCCATCTGTGAATATGTGAAATCTAAGACATCAAACATCTATTTGTTGTTTGTATTTGTAATTAAAACATGCATATAATAAATATCCTAAAATATAATTTGATAACATCATGAACTTCTTATGTTACAAAAACAATTTTACTTAAAAAAACATCTTCATTCTTTAAATAGTTTCCTGAGAAAAGCTTTTCTTTCTCTAATCATTTCATCAATAAGATCGAGAAGATCCAGCAAACACACAAACATATGTGTGTCTTTTTTCCCATAAGTCTAAAGATGTCCTTTTGCCATATATCAATTAGTCTTCTTGGGAAAGTGCTTTAGTTGTGTGGTTAGGTAAATAATTTCATCAAAACCATTGCTAATTTTATTCCATACATTTAACACTTTCTTCCTGATATGAAAATCCATGAAAATTTCATGCATCACATCTTGAATAAGATCATTTATTTATAGGATAACAATTATTGTACTTGTTTAAAATATATTTTTATTTTCTTTTCTTTGCAAAGTGGGAATATATTCCAACATATTCAACCATAAGAAAGAAAATCACTCTAGAAATACTAAAATAAAATTTAAAATGAAATAAAGATTATGGTACCTTATAAAATCTATCTTCATGCTGAGTGGTATCCTTTGTCACATCATAAATAATTTCCTCCATTCTGAATATAATGAATTGATCACTCTTACACTCATTAGACATAGACGATTTTATTTAAAGGCACATTAGACATAGATGATTTTAGACGTTATTTAAAGGCACATTAGACATAGACGATTTTATGTAATTATATTAACATAACTGCTTTGTAGGGTTACAATTATGTTGTGATGTGTCGAACTTCCATTTGACTTGTATAGATTCGAAGTCTGTGGTTTTGTATTCGAATGTATGTATTACATAAGGCATTATTAATGTGTCTAGTCCTTATGTATTTTTTGTATGCTTCTAGTTATTCCTATAAATAAGGGTAGGTATGTAACGCGCCGATTCTCAGGTATGTAATTAAATGAAATCTTATTTTGTTGAAAGATCTACTCGACGAGTTGGTTGCCCTACTCGTCAAGTAGCAGCGAGGTTGGATCGTGC